AGTTCACGCCTTTGAGGTCTGAAACATAGTTTATCTTTGTTCTGCAGTGTGTGTGTGTGTGTGTGTGTGTGTGTGTGTGTGTGTGAAAGAGAGGAGATTTATTTTCTGTGCATGTATAAGCAGAGAGAGAGAAAGAGAGAGAGAGAGATTTATTTTCTGTGCATGTATAAGCTGCTCTAAAGCTCAGCCATGAGGGTTCCCTGTTACCTTGGCTTCCACTCAAGTTTAGCTGGTAAAGCTTCTTTGGAGAAAAATAAGCAGTCAAGAGGCCAAAATTCTGCCTTCAGGTCTGCTACAATTACCTTTGCAATTCTGAGGCTTTTACTCATTTTTGAAATTTCGACAATCTCACGACATTTACTTATTTATCCTCTCCACAAAACTTAGAGCTCTCTAAAGCAGAAACTCTTCTAGTAATCATTGAATTCTCAGTGTCTAAAATAGTGTCTGGTATATAGCAGACACTCAATAAACACTAAACTAATGAATAAATGACTGTCTGGGTTTCCTTCCAGTTACAACATAGCATGATTCCATAAAATTGTGATCTAGTGCATTGAATTGTCACCTATGCATGTGGCAGATAATGCTGGCTCAGGTTTCTTTTTTCTCCTGCCCACTATTGAGTCACCTTCACGAACATTTCCACCAGAATGTAAGTAACATATACAAAAGGAGATGGTTTGAGATTTGCCAAATTTTCCTCTTCTCTAGCGGTACCAAAAGTGGTTGGAAAAAGAAGGAAGTCTTCATTTGAAGTGTTGGTGATCTGCTGGTTTAATTTACACAGGGCGTGCCTGTCAACCACTCCCATCCATAATTGAGGCATGGCCACCCACAGCACCTGTCATCAAGGCCTCTATACTCAGTTCCCCTTGGTGAGATAAGGTGAAGAGAGGCCACTAGCTAACAATGTGTGAAAGCTTCAAGTGACATGACAGTCACTCCAGATCTGGAAGGGGAAATGACAAAAGAAGACATTCTGGTTTTTTGTTTGTTTGCATGTGCATGAGTCAGGGTTCTTGGTTGTAAATAAGACACTCACTGTGGCCAACTGAAGCAGAAGAATTTAATTTAAGGATTTCAGGTACCACCAAATAAAAAGGATACCATCACTGGTTCCACTAGGACTGCTAGGTACTGCCAGTCTCTGGAAATCTGCCCACCAAGATGAAGTTTAATGTGTTTCTGTCTTTGCATCACTTGATCAAGATTCAAAGTTCCCAACAGGAGAATCTCATTGGCCAGATCACACACTGCCCTAGCTGTGAGGGGCTGGGAGACCAAGTATCTGGCCCCCTTATGCTCCCCGGTGGGAAAGAAGGTCCTAAGACTCTTACAGTGATGGAATGCCTCAATATAAAGAATATTTACATATGGGTCAGCCACAGAAAAATGAGAAATGTCCACTGCCTCACAGTTGAATAGTGTAGCATCATTTATAAAGATGGGTAAAACTCGGTCTATATAGTCACACATCTGGTGCCCTAAGTGGGGCAGATTTATGATTAGTGGGCATAGGCTTGTTAGGAATTCTTGCTCTAAAGGCTGAAAATTGGCTGGGCATGGTGGCTTACACCTGTAATCCCTGCACTTTGGGAGGCTGGGGCAGGCAGATAACTTGAAGACAGGAGTTTGACACCAGCCTGGCCAACATGGTGAAACCTCATCTCTACTAAAAATACGAAAATTAGCCAGGCGTGGTGGTGGACACCTGTAACTCCAGCGACTCAGGAGGCTGAGTCAGAAGGATCACTTGAACCTGGGAGGCGACGGTTGCAGTGAGCCAAGATCATGCTATTGCACTCTATAGTCTGGGCAACAGAGTAAGACTCTGTCTCAAAAATAAAAATTAAAAAATAAAGGCTGAAAATTTTACCAGCCAAAATTAAATTTGAACCAGTTAGCAGTTTCCTGGTACTTTGCCCATAACAATTTTAAAAGTTATGGTTGAGCACAGCATGCTAGTGGCATATCACAAAACTCTCGCTGCCAGCATAGACGAACCCAGGGGAACTTTCTCCTTAATCAAGTTTCCATTTTCCCCTCCTAACCCCTTGAAAGAACAAGATGACTTCATGCTTTGCTCCTTCCTAGTCTAGTAGTGACTCTGAAACCCCAGGAACACAGCTTATAGACTTTAGCCCCAGCTTCCCACAGATGGGTTTGGAGGCTGAGTATAGGAAGAGCCAGGGTCCATGCTGGGAAATTCCTTGGTTCATGACGATGATCCTCAAGGCAATAAACAGGACTGAGACCTGCAAAGGAGCTGGCCTGACTGCAGAGGACAAAAGCAGAGGTGTGAGTAGGTAAAGTGGAGTCACAGCACAAGGCTTCTTCATCCAAGCAAGGACATTGCAGCACCTTCACTTTCAGGAATCTAATTCCACAGTGTTGTGACATAGGAGAAGCCAAAGTGTTTTCTCCTACTCTCACACAGCCAGCACAATTTTAACACTAGATGTGTGGAGGATGTTTCCCCACAAACCAAGCAGTTCTCCAACAGACACAGGCTGGGTGTCCTTTAATTCAATTCAATTCTGGCACTATCTACCTGGAAACAGTCTTTGGTCCCACAAGACTGCCCCTCATTTCAGATGCCAATCCCACATAGTAGGTTGTTTCCTGTACCTCTGATTGCCGAGCTATAAACTGGAATTTCCCCCGCCCCCTCCTTGTTTGGGCTAATTTGCTAGAGTAGATCACAGAACTCAGTGAAACACTTTACTTCTGTTTGCCCGTTTATGATGAAGCATATTACAAAGCATATGGATGACAGTGAGATGGAAGAGATGCACAGGGCAAGAAATGTGGGAAGGGCCGTGGTGCTTCCATATCCTCTCTGGGCACACCACCCTCTAGGAACATGATATTCTGTTCTCCAGAACTCAACAAACCCTGTCCTTTGGGCTTTTATACAGGCTTCATTGCATATGAATTGATTGATTACATCATTGGTCATTGGTGATCAATTTAACCTTCAGCCCTTCTCCTCTCCCCAGAGGTTGGGGACGGGGTGGGACTAAAAGTCCCAACTCTCTAATCCTGCCTTGATCTTGTTGTCGACCAGCCCCCATCCTGAAGCTATCTATGGGCTCCAAGTCACCAATCATCTCAATAGCATGCAAAAGGTATTTTCATCACTCTGGAGATTCCAAGGAATTTAAGAGCTTTAGGTCAGGAAACAGGGACTGTAACCAAATATCTATTTCACAATATCACACACAGATGCACCTACACAAGTACATACTGATCTATGTACAGGGATATTCGCTGAAGTATTGTTGGCAACCCCCACCCAAAAAAACTGGAATATATTATTCACATATGATTATATCAGTTCAATATATTACTGTATAATCATACTATGAGACCTAATGCAACTATAAGAAAGAGGTCATATATAAGTGATATGATAATATTGATACCTTAAGTTAGAAGAGCACGTGGCAGAACAGTTTGCATACCACTATTCCATTTTTTTAGAAGGGAATATACAAATAGTCTTGTATGTGTATAGAAAGCACTGGAAGGGCAACCTAGGAACTGTGGGGACTTTCTGGGGAGGGTAGCAAGGAAAGAGACACCTTTACTTTTCATTTCCTACCCTATTCCGTTTTACTATTTACTGTGTGTAGGCAGTCTATTTATAATTAAAACAAACTAAGATGCCAGAAAAGTGAAGCATAGCAAGAAAAAGGAGTCAAGGGTCAAGAAATAATTTTTCCTCAAACGAGGCTTCTCTCAGTTAAGAACACTTCTTAGCTGTACTCAGAGAATGTGAAGCCCCAAAGGGAAAACAGTCTGACTGTATCTTTTCCTTAATGTCGCTCAGAGCCAGGCCTCTACTCACCTGGTGAGGGCCTGGGTCTGTCTCCTGCCCTGGCATTTGGATGTGATCTGAGAGGAGCGAATCAGGTAAAGGAACTTTCTGGACCTCAGACGACAGCCAGTTTTAGCAGGTGTCACTGAGGTAGGAATCCCCACCCAACCCAACCCCCTACAAAAGAGCCAGCAGTTATTAAAAGCATGGGACTAGAGCGGGGCAGACTGGGTTTATGGTCCTGTTACAATGGTGGTGATGCTAACAGTTAAAACGCCATGAAAGCTTGTTTCAAACTAGAATAGAAAAAAAACAAAAACAAAAACAATGACCCTACTAATGACCCTAGGTAATTCTGTTTTCTGGGTTACAGCAACAGCCCCCAGAATGGACTTTATTGAAGCCTTAGTGACAAGAAGCCTGCAGGGCGGTAAGGGGGACCTGCTTGGAGAAAGACCCCAAAACAGAGGAGTTCTCCCTAACACTCCAATGACATGGGAAAATTTTGCTCACACAAAATTCCCTGGAAACCCAGCCACCCCCAGCTGCAAGAGAAGGCCTAGAGATGCATCGGCCAGAGCCGTCTTCAGGCCACAGCTCTTCCTCCCCATGCTGGGGGTGCTGCTGCTTCCTTCACCTTGACCCTGTATCCCCACTTCCCACTGCCCGAGATCTTCCAGGCCGAATGTCCCCTCTCCTCCTCCACTCTTCTGAGCTCTAAGAGCTAACTCCAATGTGTTCGGCATATGGAAAAGTGAAGAACTGAACCCCTTCCACCCCTGCCTCCCTAGGCAATCTGTAGAGCGCTGCTCTGCAGATTGAGCCCTGATACCAGTGTCCGGGAGGCGCGTAAAAGCTTCCATGTTGATCCTTCCACTGCAAAAAATGCCCGGTTTAGTCTGGGAGACACTCAGACCCCTCGGGACAAGGGTGGCTAGAGAGAGGTCCAAGCTGCCCTGGGTGGGTGGGGAGTCAAGGCAGGCCAAAGCTTCGGATTTAGGCAGTAACCACCAAATCCGACCTGGGCTGCAGGTCCAAGGCCTCTTCCTCTTTCCTGCATGCTCCGCTCTGTCGCTGGCCCATCCTCCGACGTAACCCCTACAATGACCAAGGCAAAAAGGCCTGTCCCAACTCTGTCCTCATGGCCCGGGTCCCCAACCCTCCGGAGAACCCGCTTCGTGTCTCTTTTCGATTTTACAAAGTGGCGCTCCTTGCAGCCCTGGCGAAAGGTTCTGCCGTGGGGTCTCCCAGCGCAGGGCCCTTCCCCAGTTCCCTAAAGAGGAGGCTCGTTTGGTGGACCAACCCCCAGCAGCGCGGGCCCAGCCCTGGCCTTTCTACTTGTCTTCCGAGGACCCTGCCCGCCGCCTTGGGTCCAGCCGTCGTCCAGGGGGCGGCGGTTCAGGGGAGACCGCGCGGCCTGGCCTGAGGCGCGGCCGCCCCGATCCCTTCCCCGGACCTGGGGTGGGTCCCTGGCCCACAGGCTCAGGAGGAGCCGCAGCCCCGTCCCCGACGCGCTCACAAACGCCGCGGTCGCCCGAACCTTCGGCCCCGCCGCGTTCGGCCGCAGGACGGCGACACGACCGGGGCCCGGCTCTGCGCGCTGCGCTCCGACCGCCCGGCGCGGGAGGACGCGCGGCCGCGCCTGCCTCGGTGGCCGCGCGGGGTAGGTAGCTGCGGGGACCGGAAGGATGGCGAGGAAGTCGGAGAGGGTTTCCTGAGATGAGAGATTACTTCCGTCCGGGCTGCGGCCTCTCTCTGGAGCCGGCTCGCAGGGGCTCGGGGAGCCGGGCGCGCGGGGCTCGGGGCCGCGCCTTGCCACCTGCAGTGCCCGGGCGGGCCGCGGGGGCTTTGGCGGGACGCGCTCGGCCCTGTCGCAGGGGCTAACGCGGGGGGATCCTTGCAGGTGGGAGCATTTCAGAGCGCCAAGCCATGGTGGCCAAACAGCGGATCCGGATGGCTAACGAGAAGCACAGCAAAAACATCACCCAGAGGGGGAACGTAGCCAAAACCCTGGTAAGGCGAGGGCGAACCCGGCCGGGCCCAGCAGGACACCCGGGCAGCTGGGCGGCGTGGGGCGGGGGTGGGGGCGGGACCGGGCTGGGCGGTAGCGGCGCAGGGTCCGGCCTCCCGGCTCCCGGCCCGCCCCTTCTGCGGGGTCCTGCAGAGTGGGGGCTGAGAGCTGGGCTCAGGGCGGCGCGGTCCGCTTGTCGTCCTCGTGGGCGGAGAGGGCCCTGGTTGGTCGTGGCCCCTCTGGGAGTGGCCGCCTGGGCTACCGGGGAGACACAGAGGAGCCCCCCCTTGCCCCGTGAGACAGCTGGGCCTTGTCCCAGGGAAAGATGGAACGTCTCATCCTTAGGGGCCAGTTAAGTCAACTACATGACACAAAGCCTGGAACCTAGTATGTTCTAGAACGTTTATTGAATGACTGAATGAATGAATCAATGGCTAAATGGAGGCCACTTGTCGTCTCCTCCTCCCAGACTCCCCCCGTCTTCCCTCCCCAACAGACTTGCACCAGGATCGGGTTTACTTTCCAGCCCCTTTGTGAGGGTTTCCCTGGAGATGTTGAAAGGACTCAAAGTAGGAAGTGATATTTGGGCCCACATTCCCTCGAGCCTCCTTTTTCTCTTTAACCTCTCTCTTCCAGTGAGACCTCCCTCAGTCCCTAGGCTAAAGTCTAAGGGCAGCATTGCTGTTCTTTCCACTCTGTGAATTCAGACTCATTCTGATGGTGTAACTTTAGAAACCAGTTTATGGCCAGGCGTTGGAGTCCCTAGAACTGTAAATTGAAACTTTGTAACTGGACTTTTAAGTAAAACCTGTGCCTTACACTCAGGGGTTTCTTTTAGCAAAGCAGATTATCTTCAACAGAAAATGTTGGCCTGTGACTGGACATTCAGAGACATGAGTCGCATGGGTAGTTTGGCAAAGTTGGTCTCCAAGTGTATGAGCAAAGGTGCCAGGGGTCTGTTATCCCATACAGTTAAGTGGAAATCTAGCTGAAGCTTGAAGTTTGGCTGGGAAAGCTTACAGACTTTATGAAGCAATTCCTTTTAGCCAAATAAATTATACTGGTTTGATTAAGTAAAAAGCTAGCTCTATAATCATCACACCAAAATTCTTGCAAAACCAAGCAGTATTATGGCAGAGAAACTCTAGGATCAAACTCAACTCTACTCAGAGCTTTATACACAGCTCTAGGCTTAAGTAATCCTTAAAATTCTCTCATTTAGGAATTAGATCACTTAGTTGTGATTCGGGCAGCAAAATGCCAGATGCCATCAAAGTGGAACCATTTTGTCACATCGATTTATTTTCCCTAGATATTTTTACTCAGGAAAAAAAAAACAAACCAAGCTGCCCAAATTGATATTGAGAAACAACTTATAATTGATGTTAGGGCATGCAGCGTTTTATATCCCTAAGAGATCAATTCTTCCTTCTCAAGGTATCAGACCTGCTAACTGACACAGTGAAAAATAGCTAGTCATGTGGCTCTTTTGCATTAACTAAAAAACCAGAGTTCAGATGTCAGATCTCAGTGGACAACTTATCTGATTGCAAAAGTAAGAAGAAAACAGGAACTAATTTGCAAGGCTGTTTTATCCATTGGGCTCTGTAGACTCAGTGTCTGCCACCTCACGTTCTTCAAGAAGACTAGAAAATATTTGGGACCCAAAACAAAAATTATTGGCTCCAAAATAAGAGAAGAAAATGGAAAATTTGGGAAAACTGTTTAAATATCTAGAAAAGGTACCGGTCACCTACCATTCAACTCAATGTTCAGAGTTACATTTAAATTGTATTTAACGTGCAGTATGAGTGCATTTTAACATGTTCTGATATGTCATAGGATGACCCCCATGCCTTGCACTATGAGAGTTTTTGAATGGCCCAGCTAAATTTGTAATGATATGTTTCCAGACCAAGCCACAATAAATGTACGCTTTGCACTGGTTTGGGGGGGAATTTTGGTTAACTTTATTGTAAATAGATCATTATCCAATAGAAAAATGAAATTTTGTTTCAAAGAGAAGCTTGATAAATCCTAAATCTTATTTTCTCAATTACAAGTCAAATATACTTATACTTTGTTAAAAATAACTTGCAGAAGATCACTATTCAGGATGAAATTCATTAAATGGGAACATATGTATATATTCCACCTGAAAATTCAGACTAATTGTTCAGAAATAAGCTCCTTTAATTGTATGCAGATGCTTCAGTATTTTATGATTAATCACTTAGGAATAAATTAATATTATTCCCCCAGATAACAGACTAACCCAAGAAACGAGGCTGGGCTTGGTGGCTCATGCCTGTAATTCCAGCACTTTGGGAGGCCGAGGCGAGTGGATCACCTGAGGTCGGGAGTTAGAAACCAGCCTGGCCAACATGGTGAAACCCTGTCTCTACTAAAGATAGAAAAATCAGCTGGATCTGGTGGCAGCTGCCTATAATCCCAGCTACTTGGGAGGCTGAAGCATGAGAATCACTTGAACCTGGGAGGTGGAGGTTGTAGTCAGCTGAAATTGTGCCACCACACTCCAGCCTGGGTGACAGAGCGAAACTCCCATCTAAAAAAAAAAAAAAGAAAGAAAGAAAGAAAAAAGCCCAGAGAAACTGAATCATCATTTTGTGATTATACAGTAGTAACTTCTCCAGAATGAAGGGGGAATTTAAATTTCAGAGGTCTGAGTTACCCTATCGGTATCTTAATCAGAGGAAAAGCTATTCCCTGACATTTTTGGAGCCTCAAAAAGTAGCAAACTCATGTTTGGAGTAAACCATGTCATTTGCAGAATTGCTACCAGTTCTCCCCACCTTTTCCAGCCATAGAGTCAGGTTTATGTGAATTGTCTCATGGGATTGTGCTGGGCACCCCTTCTAAAAAGTAGTCACCCAAGCTGTCAAAAAGAGATATGTGGGTACTATGATCAGCCAGAGTCCCCAGATAATGTTGATTCCCTGGAAAATGTCATCCAAAAGGTTTTTGTGTTGTATGCTTTAAGCTCTGAGTGCTAATCACCTGTTTTTCTGCATATGAAAATTAAAGGACTCCATTCGGTATCTGTCCTGGGCAAATAATTCATTTACAGGCTCCTGAATTCACTTACTAGCTTTGCTGGAAATACAGATAAAATGAATTTTTTTATATAGCATTAGTGGCCAAACAGCAACAGAACTAGTTTCTGGGCAACTGTGACAAGTTCCTGGGAAGGTAGCGGAAGAGGGTGGGGAAGGGTGAATGTCACACTTTGTCACACTTTGTTCAGGTAGCTTTATAGGTGTTGTTTACTTTATCTGAACTTGGCCTGGCCTTAAAGGCCAAAAAATGGCACAGTTATCTTATGCAATTATTTAAGACTAATTTTGTCCTCGTTTGATCAAGAGTAGCCACCGATTCCTTTGTAGCATGACTTGTCAGCATGTAAGTGGTGGTAGATACAGGCGTAGTGAAGGACAGAGAAGTGAATGTCTTAATCCTTAGTCAAAGTCTATGTGCCATTGACACTTTAACTCATATTTCTCATGTAGGAGAGATACAGGGACAATCTTACACCAATTAGGAAGTATTAATAAAAAGACAATATCCTTCCTAGAACCTGTTTACTCTGTCTAACCTAAAAAAACTTATTTAATGAAACTTGTATGTTTATTTGTTCTTCGATGAACGTTTATTATCTCCTGTGTTTAAGTTCTGTGCCAGGCATTTCTATACATTGGTACTTGAGCAAGACATAGTCCCTGTCCTTGTGGGGTCTACAGTCTCATAGAGAGACAGATATTAAACACATTATCACAGGAATAAATATAGACCTACAAACTGTGACAGATGCTATCATGAAAAAGTACATGGCCATACAAGTGACAAGTGGACCCAAGTGAGGTCAAAGAGGAGGGAGTTTTGGTAAGCTGCAAAACTAAAGAACTGTTGCCTTATCTATGATTCCTTTTTTAAATGAGAAGCCAATTTTTATTTACATGAGCCCAGAACTTAATTTTACATATAAATACAATACATCATAGGTTTTGCAGTTTTAATTTACGATACGTTTTTCTAGGAAAGCAGCTACGGTTTATTATCTCAGTTTTAAAATCAAGGGAAGATTATCCTTTTTAAAGAAGTTTTTGTTAGAAACATTACTAAAACTTGTTCAACAATTCAAAAACTTACATCCTTGATTATAGAACCACTCGTTTTTTTTGAAACATTATTACATACCTTCATTCTGAATGTCAAGCTGTCATACTTGTATGGATATGAACATACTTTTTAGCCCATATTTTACAATGTTGAATATAATTTTTAAATGTCAACAACATTTAATTGAAATCTGGAATTGGGTTTTGTGATTTCAACCACAATCAATATTTGTGAACATTCCAGTCTACCAACATGTTTTTCTTTGTGTGTGTTGCATGTGAATTTTTTCAACTTATATTGAATGCAGCCTACTTTTCAAACTAATCAGAAAATAATTAGAGTTCTTTGGGTTTTTTTTTTTTCACTCTCCTTTTCTATTTGAGAAATTCACTTTTTTTCTGATGCATCTCTCAGAAAAAATTTGTTGTTCTGATTGATTTGGGTTTAAGGCCCAAGCCCTACCTGCACTACCTAGAGATGTTATGGAGGGAAGATGTTATCATGTTCGCGCTTTTGGTCTGAAAAGAGCAGGAGGTCTGTAAGGCTTTATTCACACAGGTTTGAGAGTTCCCTTCTGCTTCCCAGAGAATTCAGAGACCTCTCCCAAGTGCAAGCTTCATTAAGGCCTAGGAGCTTTATTATAAAATTGCTGGTTCGCTCATAACCATTCACAATTGCTTTGGTGCTTCTATTGTTCTAAGGATTTCCACTGTACTGACTTCCTAATTTAGGGGTATATAAAAGATCTTGAGAAAATGTCTGTGCTCTCTGATCCTGCTTGGAATTCACAGATGCAGAAACAAAATATTGAATCTATTAATGGAAAACACCCGGCTTTGTAATGAGGCAGACCTAAATTTGAATCCCAGCTCTTGCTCAAGTTAACAAAGTTTGAGCCTCAGTTTCTCAACTCCAAAATGGAAATAATAATACTTACCAGAAATAATGAATGCAGACTGCCTAGTATAGTGCCTGGCACAGAGCATACCTTCAACAGATGGAAAGTTATTAATATCATTTTGGTCCCTAAATCACCATATTGGTTTATGTATTCACACCATATCTGTCCCCAGAATATTAGAGACCACCAAGTTCACTGAGTTACAGGGATGTTAATAAGGTTATTGATGAATTTTTACAAACCTATCTCAATCCTCTTAATGGACTTTATTCATCTATAAATAGGGATTGAGACCAAGTCTGTCCCATTCACAGTAGAATCCCCAGCACCTAGCACAATGCCTAGTGATACTCAAATAAATGTTTATTGAATCAATGAAGCTAATCTTTCTTTTTCCCATTCCCTTTTAGAGGCCGCAAGAGGAGAAATATCCTGTGGGACCATGGCTGTTGGCACTGTTTGTTTTTGTTGTCTGTGGCTCAGGTATGGGTGTTTCACTGAACTTACATCCCGTGTTCTCCAATGGACTTTGAAAAACACACATTTTCTTCACAAAGTAAATAGATGAAAAACAGATTGGTCTGGGATTCAAGTTTATCACTGCCTTGAGCCTTAATCTTAATGGGTTTTGATTTAGTTTCTATTCCAAATATAGGTAGAGACAGAATTGATACACTATCAAATCCTAATCATAAAATGATTAACTGAGCACTTAATGTGGCTACATACACTGTAAAGTTCAGTGAAGCCTTTCTTTGCAGACATAGCCTTAAAAGGGCATTAGAACAGAAGGTGAAACACCTGTCTTCCTGTGATAAACCCACATTCCAGAGAAAGGGAGAGGCCTTATGCCTTATAAGAAGGTTCTGCAGAACTCCTAGATACAGCTGAGCCTTTGATCCACGCCTTAATATGGGTCACCTGATACTGTAAGGTGGCCAGTTGAGAGCTTTACTTACACACATGTGGATATACATGTACACACACACACACACACACACACAGGGAAGATGAGCAGAAGCATTGTGCTATTGTTTCTAGTTACATGCTCAACTATCCTTGACGTGGTTCCTGGTCCCCGTATGTTGGGTCGCGGAAATCCTTGTGAGTGGAGGTCACTTCTTCTAACTACACAGCATGCCGTTCGGGATTCCCACCCTCCATCATCTCACTGTTGCTGAGGGCAGGAAGGCAGGATTTCCATATCTTTCTGCTCAGGCTTAGGCCTCCCAGAAAGACAGCCTCTGCTCCAATGACAAGAGAAGTCCATGACTAAAGATGGATCATGCATTCACACCTAAAATCATGAAAATTTTAAAAGAGCATTTTTAAGATGGATCAGTTCCTTTTAACTTCAAGAGGCTACTCTTCCAAAGAAGCAAAAACTCTTAGAAGGAGGGATCCAAAGTAATTGGCATTATTGTTGCTTGTGGTTCAAATATTTTAAAGATGATTTGACATTCCAAGATGAGAAAAATCTTCCACCCAAAGAAACACAGTTCTACTCTATTCCCAAAGAAATATCCTTAAGAGCATCTTTTAAACAACTGTTTACTCAATCTCTGTTTGAATACTTCTGAGGATGGGGTGGTCACTTCTTCAAAAAGCCTATTCCATTTCCGTGTAGCTGGAATTCTATTAGAAATGTCCCTCCTCCTAGGATAACACAGAATGGACTCGTTCTCCTCTAAGCACCTTGAATCATCAGATATTTTAAAGATGACTGCCTGGTGACTCCTTCTGCAAACTAAGCTTCCCTAGTTCTGTGCACCTTGCCTCCTAAGATGTGGTTTCTAGACTCCTGTTCTGGATCTGCTCAATGACTTTCTTAAAGTATGGTATTTGGTGGTGCATGCCTATAATCCCAGCTACTCAGGAGGCTGAGGCAGGAGAATTGCTTGAACCTGGGAGGTGGAAGTTGCAGTGAGCCGAGATCGCACCATTGCACTCCATCCTGGGCAACGAGAATGAAAATCAGTCTCAAAAAAAAGAAGTGTAGCATTTGCAACTGCAGAAGGTGGACTAGAAGCAGCGTGATCACCACAGAGGCAGTTAGAGGCAGCAGGATTGTCACTGCCCTTGATTTTGCTCGCTCACCACTCTGCCTCTATTAATATGACCCAGGCTTGCAGTTACTTGTTAACAGTTGCGGCACATCCTTGACTCGTGTCTAGCTGATGGCCAGCAAGGTGCCACCCAGCTCTTCCTCACATAAACTTCGTGCAAGCCTCAGAAACACATCTACATACCTCTTTGCCCCAAATTATCTCCTGTCTCTATCACACATTATTTTATTTTACTCGTGGCCCTCATCAGCAGTTGCAGTTATTTACTTTCTTATGTTCATTCCCTCCAGCAGGTTATAAGCTCAGGGGAGGCAGTGTTTATTTTCCATTAAAATTGTAGATCCTAGCTTAGTATTTAGCATATAGTTAGTGCTCAGGATGAATGGATGAATGGATGGATGGATGGATGGATGGATGGATGCAGCTAGATATTTCTCATACTGTAGATATCTATTTGGCCTTTTTTGAGACCTAATATAAAACTTTATGACTATTTCTTTTTCTATTCTCAAAGAAGAATGGTTACTTTTATTAAAATTTTATTGGTGATTATCTTTTATCTTTTTATATAATGTCCATAAAGTTCAGAAACATAGATGAACGTGTACAATAAATGGCTTACTGATATTAAATTATAATATACAATATGGTCAGTAACATTACATGATATATTCATGTATTGTCCTTCATTAGTAATGTGTAAGTCCAAGCACTGTGCAAAATCGCAATGAATATGACACATTAATGCAGCATTTCCATCAGTACCTACATATTCATCTGTGATGCATTGCCTCAGATGATCTGTCTCTGGTTTTCAACCAAGAACAAAATAAAAACAAACAAATAAATAAAACTGTGCCTTTAGCATGCCACAGGAAAATCAAGATAATAAACCTGCACAAAAAGTTAGTTTTCAGGCTATATGACCAATCTGCAGATTGTCAGATCTTGAACTTTGAGCCTCTGATCTACTTATCCTTTTTTTCCCAGCGTTGAGGTCTCTGAAAGTATATTATTCTTCCAAGTCACTGATAAAAGTCTAGACTTGAAGAAACCCACAGAACACAATTAGAGACAACCTCTTTCAGGTTGACTTTGAACCTCTAAGCAAAACTCATTGAGACAATCAGCGTGTCTTGAGGGTCCCTTCTGTGCCTGGCGCTGTGCCGGGCTTTGGAAATACAGTCCTGTTTGGATGCTGGCAGGCATTGGGAGAGGCAGATAAGGAAGCCAGCAGTTGTGGCCCAGAGGAAGCATGCTGCGATAGGCACAGCAGAATGTACAGGGTGCTTGGCCAGCATCGATAAGGAACTTCTAAATCATCCTCCGCAGAAGAGAAAGTTTCCAAGTGGGGGTGCTGTTTGAGCGGAGTCTTGAAGAACAAACAGCCAGACCAAGGGTGAGAGGAAGGTGACTTTGCATGGGAACACTATGTGGCGGTGGCAGGGTGGCTTCAGAGAGTGTGCTGGGCTCAAGAATGTAAGGTACTCAGAATGCCCAAAGCCTAATCTCAGGCATCTCTGAGCCCAGTGACCATGCCACCTGTATTGCCAAGGGTCTAAATAGATAAAGATATATCTAGGCTTCAAGTCACACAGTAACTGTGGTTTTCTCCAGTCTACCCCCCAGGATAGCCTATAAGCAAAAAAGCCAGTAGGGTCATTGGCCTGGCTTATTTTTCTCAAATCCATGCCAACTCTCAAAATCCTTCTCTTCCTTTTTGAAGGGCTTAAAAAAACATTATATGACCTAAACTTTTGCCTGGCTTACCAGCCCATACTAAGGAACCTGTGTCTTTCCCTCTTGGGTAAATTGGGACATTCGCTAACAAGCATCTTTTGGAACTCTCCCGGACTCCAGTGGTGTCCCAGGGATTAAGTGTGGTAGCTGCGACTCTCTGGAGGTTTGTGCAGGGCCATGGGATGTGAACCTGCAGAGCCTGGAGGTCTGAATGGAAGGGCCTGAGAGGACCCACTCTTATTGCCATACCATAGCTCCTGCCCTTAGTGCCCAGGGATCTTTTAATGATGATGATGTAAAGCTTTCTAGTGATAAAGCCATTTTGCTTTTATGGAGAGGTTAGACGTGGAACACGAGTTGAGCCGTCTTACTTTCTCTGTCCTCTGTTAACATGCCATCATGATCCCTAAGCAATGGGCCTTATCCCTCTTTTAATCACAACTAAAAATAATTCACCAGCACCCTTTTTTTTCTTGCCAACTTTAGCAATTTTTTTTGCAAGCCTCAGCTCAAGTCGGGCACGGTTCTCACAGAAATGTGTCACTCTTCTCAGCTTGTCCTTGGTACTGTGCCCTTCCTTCTATCTTTGTACACGTCCTTTTCTAAACAGAACATGCATGGGAAACACAATAGCTCCTTTAGCTCCGTCCCTGTTGCCACCTCTAGGATTAGTCACGATTCATTTCATCTTGCAGAGCCAACTATGGCCTCTTGAGTGTCTCCCTTTTTAAGGTCACAGGCCGTGAGTGCCTACTCACCTTTTCTCTGCATGTAAAAGAATGTGCAGTCCTCAAGTCTAGCCCCATTTGTCAGCTGCTTTGCTTTAGGTAATGAGCTTTCTGGTAGGTGCTAGGATAGTTGAGGTCCTCATTGGTGGTCTGTCTCACCTCTGTTCCAGCTTTGCAATCTGAAATAGGAAAATCACCTACGTCTCACATCTGCCTGGCTGTTTACAGCATGCACACCTGCACCCACACACCTGCCCTGACCTGCAGCACTCAGGCCAGATGCACTGGAGTGTCTTGTAGGATCTCCACACCTCTGCAGACAGATGGACCCTTTTCCTGTTCCTTTCTACTAGCTCTCCTTTAAACAAGATGCACCCCTATGCCAGGCTCAAGTTCCACTTCACCAAGTTCCAGTGGGACCTTGGAGGTCATATGGCCTTTCTTTGCATTCATGTGCTTGGTTACTCTTATTTTGTGTGTTTTTATACAGATGCTAAAGAAAAACGCGCATAATCTAATATTAATAAAGATGTTGATCATTGATGGAAATCTCTTGAAAGTCTCACTTGCTTTCATTACCTCACTCTATTAACCCACTTTTCTCATTGATGATTGGTTGGGCGAAGTGCTCTTTTTAGAAATAGTGCCAGTGTACCTAGGGTAAGTAAATATTCAGGTCAGGCAGACAGTAACGAATGCACATTTCATCTGTTTTTCTGGCTGTCTTCTGGGAAAGGGTTAGAACTGGTTAAAAAAAAAAAGTTGACATTTATATGCTCACTTATTGGTCACCCTTTCTCCATTTTATGCGAAAAAACAGGTTAACAAGCCTGTAAAAAGTCTACAGGACCCCTTTCTTATAGGGAGTCATGAGTCACTGCCATCACTTGCCTCCTGTTTCTCAGCTTCTCTCCTGTGGCTTCCTCCTCCTCTACATGGGCCTTTCATGCCTGCCATGAATAAGTAAGATAGTAACAAGGAAGGAATGAGGACTGGAGAGTAGTGGGGGGACTCAGTCCAGGCACCCAGAGACCCCTGGCATAAACACACACCCAGGGAATGCCACCCCTTACTGCAAAGCCAGATAGTAGCAATTGATCTCCTGGGGCTGCCCCACGTCCCCCAGATCAAGCGCAGCCCAGCCCTGTTCTTTCTTAGGCACTTGGTGATAATCTCTAATACATTGCCCTGGAGAAACGGAGTTTGGGGAGGTTATCTAAATACACACTCTTCAGAATAAGCGAGTTTCTATTTTCCATGATTGCAAAAGTTCTCTTAGGCAAGGGACTGCTTTGAAAACTGACCAACTGGCACTCATAAAACAGGAGGCCACCAAGGGGAGGATAGTTTTAGAATCTGCCAGATGTCAGTTCAGAGCCTAGATTGACTTTTGTCAGCTGAATGACCTTGGACAAGGTATTTACTCTTGGTATTGATTCCCTTATCAAGAAAATGGGGACAATGAGCAGCCCTCCCAAGGTGTCCTGGCATCGAGGACACCTTGGCTCTAGGGATCTAAGTGCAGGCCCATAGCAAGCTCAAAGCCTGCAGCTACAGTCACCACCACCTGTGTCCTTATAGCCCTCATGGGAAACAGTGGCACCACGGGACTATTGGTTTACTGTGGGACACTTCAACTTCCACGCGCCTTTCATCCTTCCAGGCTGCACATTCAGTTGCAGACTCAGGCTCTCACATTGGTCTTAATCTATCAGCAAGCCGTGGGCCCTGCCTCTTCACTCCGAGGATGAGTGGGAGCGACCTAAGTGGTGACACTTCAGGTGCATGAGACTGTTTTCCCACGTGATAAAGCATCCAGTCTTCCCCACACAGGGAGAAGGATCACCAACCTGCAGACCACAATCAATGAACAGCAGTTAGTCCTTTAGGTTGAATATCAGGAAAAAACAATGTGAGTTTCATTGCCTTAAAGCAACCGCAATCCACCAGTCTTTTGCTGTAGAAGTTATCTTTATGAGATACAAAAGCTTTGGGAACAGTATATTCTTCTGGGACATGCTATTATCCAATTAGAACATCTCAGGGCTGTATCCTGTTTCATTCTGTTTAATTTGATAACCAGCTTTTTTTTTTTTTTTTTTTTTTTGAAACAGTCTCACTGTTGCCCAGGCTGGAGTGCAGTAGTGCCATTTCAGCTCACTGCAGCCTCTGCCTCCCCGGTTTAAGCAATTCTCCTGTCTCAGCCTCCCGAGTAGCTGGGATTACAGGCATGTGCCACCACACCCAGCTAATTTCTGTATTTTAGTAGAGACAGGGTTTTACCCTGTTGTCGAGGCTGGTCTCAAACTCCTGGCTTCAAGTGATCCGCCCTTTTCAGGCTCCCAAAGTGCTGGGATTACAGGCATGAGCCACCGTACCCAGACAGCCTTATGAATATATAGATTATGTAAGAAATCAAAAACTCATTTCTTAATCAATACCTGTTATGGGTCTGCTTAGAATAGTATCCCAAATAGGCCAGAAACATCTTGTCAAACCTGAACCTGGGATTTTGTTTTGCTTGAGCCTGTTTAAATGGCTGGATTTGTCTCTACTTTGATCTCCTAGGATCCAGATCCACATCTGAGGCCAAAGGATCTCAGTGCCCTCATAAGAGACTTTGCCCTTTTTTTCTCTCCTCTTTTAATAAAAGCATTATCTTCTATTTCTGCAGGCAGTGGGGCCTCTTTCCAGATAAGCAGCTCATCCTGGCTCTGCCAGTCCCAGGTTTTGAAACCTGCCTCTTTGGAGAGCTGTTTGAAAGCTTCTGAAGAATGCTTCCTTTTATCTCAAGACTCAGAGGCGAGCCTTAGCTGAAATGTCTGTCTGAGACTGTTCCCCACAAAGATACTGTCACACAGATAGGTCAACTGCTATCTTCTCAAGGTACTTGCAGACTTGACATGCTTCCTCAGCTCATTCATGGACCTAGTCACTGCTGTTTGTGTCCAGAGCCCTCGCCCCGGGTGTTTTCTTTCCCATTTTTCCCCAGCTCTTGTATGAGCCTTACTGAGAAGGACTCTCAGGCTATACCTGCGCTGAGTGGGAAAGTGGGCTGCAGTCGATTGGTAATGTCTGTCCTGAACATGGTATGGCTAGCAGGGCCACGTCCTCCTTTGCTATCCTTAGCCTAAACTTTTTATAAGGTGATTGCCCCAGTATTCACAAGACAGCTGTCTTCAGCATTCCAGCTTTCCTCTTTGACCAGAATGCCTCCTGGACTTGGTGAAATGAGGTCTTTTCCTTAATATGCTACCCGTTCTGATAATTTTGTTTAGCGTCAGCCTATACATGTTTCTTGCGGTCTCACAGTATTATTTACCTTTTCTGAGCTCTGGGTGCAATACCCTACGTTGACAGGATGCAGCAATCTGAGACGGCACTCTTTGCAATGTGCTTGTATTTCTCTGTGTCCTAATGCCTCAATGATCGTTTCAAGCAGCATCAATGGAGTCACCATCTAATTCCCAACATCCTTTGACTCTCAGAGGGAAACTTTTAAATACCAGCCATGCCCCAGTTCCCTCCCTCAGACTAGTTCTCCCTCATGTATTCCTAATTTCAATTTTATTTCTCTTTCATTGGCCAACCCTGATGCTTGTTTCCTAATTAGAGATTATGAGAATTTTAATGGTGACCAAAGCCTGGCTATTCTTGAAACTGACAAACATTTTTCCCCCATCAAAGAGAAATTTCTAGAATAACAGGATTAGCTAGTGACTGTTATTTTCTTTACTGTTTCCTATAGTTTCCAAGTTTGTCAAAGAGCATATATTACTTTTATAATCAGAAAAAAATATGTTTTAAAAAAATCTAGATTATTAGTTTTCAGTCTTTTTTTAAAGCTGCAGAACTTTGTTAAAATCTTAGAGGGAAACAAATGAAAGAGCAGCTGTTCTGGTTGAAGTGAAGCTTGTGCGTGTATGCTTCTGTTTGCATTTGCATGTGTGTTTGTATACGTGGGTTTTTTGTGTGTTTACGTTTCCGTGTATGTATTTGTGAATGTGTATGTATGTGTTAGTGTGTTCATATGTGCGTATGTTATATGCATGTATATGCATGCTTGTGTGTGTGTGTGTGTGTGTGTGTGTGTGTACAGCATACCTCCCTACGTTGCTGGATATTATGACTTTCTCATCCCCAGAAGGGAGCACACATCTGGACCCTCTTTGCTCATCAAATAGGAAATTGTGCCTGGCCCCAGAACTGGCCTCTCTTACTGCAGAGTTAATGCCTTTCAACAAAGAGCCTGTGAGGTTTATCAGGCACCATCCGTTGGGAGTCCCTCTGGAGTCCCTCTGCCGTTTCTGGGCAGGGACATTCCTTTCCTCTGTCAGTTAACAGGCTGTACTTTCCTCCGCATTCTCCAGGGCCTCTGCCTGCTGGGGGGTGGTATGCCGGGGAGAGAGATCATGTCACAGACAGGTCCTTTTTCAGGACAGCCTCTTCAGAACAGATGTGAAGAAGTGATAATCTGAGATGTCGTTGGCAGAGCCTGAATTCTCTCGTTCTCCCAGCCTTGTGTTTCGGATGGCCCAGCTTTCTCCCTGTATGAATGTGCTGGAGGCCTCTCCATTTCTGGAAAGGCCACACCCAAACTTTCCCCAGGACTCGCTCTTCTGTTAAGGATGCTGTGGATGAAGCAAAGTACAAGTCACACACATGCCAGGGACATATGGGAAGCCAAAGAGCCACTCTTTTCACTGCCCTCTCTGCCCACTCCCTATGTGGCCACCAGTTTTGTGGCAAACTGTCATTGAGACCAAAGGTTGAGGAGCCAGAATGGAACCTTTTGCAACAACTAAGAAACGTTTCTTTGTGAACTGTTAGCTGCTCTCTGAAATCTTTCAGGAACACAAAATTTGAGGAAGATCTGTATTTTGGGGTGTATCAGGTGAAAGCTACCACATTATCATGTGCACATTCCATGGGGGAAAATTAGATGGTTGCTAAAAGCTGCAACTTCAGGGCCAAACTTGGTGGATTTGAAGCCACCTACTAGCTATGTAGCCTTGTCTAAGATACTTACACCCACCTGATGCTTAAGTTCTTCCATTCCTAAAAGAGGATGGTACTGGTTCCTAACTCCTGGGACCCTCAGGATTATTCGTCCTGAGGATTAACTGAGGCAATACATGCGGAATGTTCAGTGGAGTCACAGTATTGGCTTTATAAGTGTTTGCTGTTCTTGTAATTATGTTTATGGTTTTGCTCACACTGCCTTCCCACCTCTCCATCTCCCTGGGAAGGTCCTCACCAAAGCTCTGAATGCTTACGAGGGAAGAAATAAAATGTTTCTCATTTTGGTAGCTTTGCTTTGTAATGGTAAGAAGACTTATAGTGGGTGAGCGCTGCACTGAGATGTTTAGGAACCTGTCTAAGCCGAGACCAGTGCCCCCCCTCCCCGGATTGGTAGAGAATATGATTTGTAAACCAGAGAATCAGTGGGGTCACCTCTGCAGGGATAGCTGGACTTCTCTATGTCTGGAAAGAATTCTCTATAAACTAGCGCATGGGGGTGAGCAAGATCTATTCGTACAACTATTTTGGCTACCATTTCTTGAGGACTGACTTCTTGTAGTGCCAGGCCCTACACATATATCTTCTCTGTCACACAGTCCCTGCAAAGACGCCGTTACACTTACTTTTCCAGATCACGAAACTGAGGCTCATAGAGGAAATTGGCCAGTGTCCCATAGCTAAAAAGTGAGAGAGTTAGTCCCCAAACCTAGTTCTCTCAGACTTTAAAACCCATCTGTTTTCCATTACTCTGTGTTCCCTCTCTCTTACTGTTTCCCTAAAAGTTCTAGGGAGCAAACGTTTTCCACCAATTTAGGCCTTTAGCATATGACTATGTGTTAAAAAAGCTTCTGCTAAAACATCCCCTGTTTTTCCTGCCAGAAAAGGTGTCTTTTCCAGAGGTTCCTGATGTGCAGCCATCCTGGGCCTTGCTCCCAGATGGAGAAAGACTTGACCCAGCCACAGGCTGCTTCTTGGTTGGGCCACCAGTGCCCCCACTCACTCCCCTGGACACTTGCTCCAGGAAAGGCTTGAATTGACCATATTTGCAGGTCAACCACATAAACTGGCCTGTCCTGGAGATTGCCAGAACTTTCTCAAAACTGTGACATCCAGAGGGAGTCACCCCCCACGACCAGCAAGTGGGATGTTTGTGGAACTGGCCAGCCCTGGAGGAGAGACTAAGGCCATTCATCTGCTCTGGAGTTCCATCCTCGGGATCTGAGATGCACAGCCTGGAGAAGACATGTCATCAGATCATCGCTCCCTCAAGGTGACCTATGGCCTCCCTTGTGCCCTGGGGCATTTGGGATTGTGTAGAGGCTCTCTCAAAGCGGGTTTCTGATAGAACGCTTTACATTCTTTGCTAATAACATCTAAGTTTTAACAGTGCCTTGTTGCCCTCGCCTGTCTTTGGCATCTCTCTTTTTTCCCTCTTCTCCATCTCTAGAGAAGCCACCAGAAAATGGTATCGTGCTTTTGACTCCCTTTGTGCTGATTCTTTTACGGAATTTAATGATCCGCCTTGCAATGTCTTGTCTCCTGACATTTCAGCTTGTTTCTCAGAAGGCCCGCACTTCGCTTTCTATCAGCTCTTTGATCATTTTCGTTTTCTTTAATGAAAAATAATCAAAATTCTGTGATTTTTAGGTTGTCTTCTTCTCCTAAAGGATATCTTTCTTCTGGTCTCTCTTATTCTCTCTTCTCAGCAACTCCTTTGATTTCTTTCATCATCAATTTATTGTCAATAAAAGCGGCTCTATGAAGCCTCCTGTTGGCTGACAAGGTTCCAGCTTTCTGACAGTTTCCTGTGGGACCCACTTGTTATGTCATCCCTGTGTCCTTCTGGTACTCCCTCTTAACTGGGGAGGGTCAGTCCCCAGGGTGAGAGTGGGTTGGGGTGGCCCCTTCTCAGGCCTTTAGGAGCTTATGGTCTTGTACTTCCCCTTCAAAGACTGAGCTTTAGAGACATTTGGATCTAAAGGCAGCCATTTGATACCGACTCTTTTGGTTTGCAGAGTAATCACTTGAGGTTTTTAAAATGTATTTTCCTCTGTGCTCTTTGCAATCATTCACCTTTCAGTAATTCAATCACATTTACAGAGGTTCTACTTTGTGCCATACCTGGTCCCTGTTATCCTGGAGTTTATAGTCTAATGGCAAAGAAAGATGAGTTAATCAAGTCATCACACCAAAACACTTTCAATTCAGCCATGAAACTGGACAATTTCAGCCATGAAACTGTTTAAAGGAGAGGCACATGGGGCCATGAAAGCACATAATGCAAAGGGCTGGTGTTCTCAAAGTGTGGTCCCTGGACCAGCATCTCAACATCCACAGTGAACTTGTTAGAAACACAGATTCTCAGTCCCTTATCCCAGACCCAGCAGATTAGAATCTCCAGGGTATGGGGGGAAGGTGTCTAGCATTTGTGTTTTAACCTGTCACCACAAGACTGTGATGCATGCTCAAGTCCGTGAACCTCAGCTCCAAGTGACCAAAAAAGGCTTCTCTGAAGACATTAACTTTTAGGTGATGAAGAAAACTAGGGAATAGGGTGGGATAGAATTATTTCAGACAGAAAGAACGGCATGTGTAAAAGCCATGTGGTGAGAGCATGGAGCTTTGAGAAACATGAGGGAGTACCCCAAGCAAGGAGAAGAGTCATACAAGGCGAGTCTGACAAGTGGACAGGGGCCAGGAGTCATGCGGGTCATGGTAGCCTCATTGGGGATTGGGCAATGGGAAGCTTTTGATGTGCAGTAAACACAGGAGTGACAATACATTATTTGTTTATGTTGAAAGGATAATTCTAGCTACAATATGGAGAAAGGATGGAAGAAGAGCAAGAGTAGAGCCGTGGGAGGGCCTCATTGGGGTCTGGGGGAGGATGATGGTAACTTGGACTATGGTGGTTTCTGAGGAATGGAAAGAAGGATGCATACTCACAAGATTTCCAGGTAAAATCCACAGGAACTGGTTATCCATCGGAGGTGTCAGGGAAGCCTGTGGTATTTTGTGTCTATATGCAAGATGGTAGATAATGATGCCAGTTTTAGCAATGGGATGAGATCATGAATAAGGTCCTGTTGAGTCCGAGGTACCTCTGAGCCCCCCAGGTGTAGATATCAACTAGATGGTCGAAGGCGTGCTGGAGCTCTGAGAAGTCAGGGCTGGAGATACACATTTGTGCATCATCAACAGCTAGGTGGCAATTCAAACTGTGGGTCAGGAGGCATCGCCTAAGAAGAAGGAATGTAACGAGAAAAAAGCCAGTAATGCTCATTGCAGAATGTCAACGCCCATGTCTAATGGTCAAGTGGATTGTTTCCTCTAAAGTAAGCTTAGAGGAAAGAGCCAAGAGAAGGAGGAAAACTAGAACCTAGAAGATCATGGTTTCACAGAGGCCAAGGGAAGAGAGCTTCCAGGAGCAAGTTCCCAGCGGGGGCGAGTCGGGATAAGGCAAGAGAAGGTGGAAGAACGCCTGTTACACTAAGTGACTCAAAGGTCATTGTGGGCCGGGTGCGGTGGCTCAAGCCTGTAATCCCAGCACTTTGGGAGGCCGAGGCGGGTGGATCACGAGGTCAAGAGATCGAGACCATCCTGGTCAACATGGTGAAACCCCGTCTCTACTAAAAATACAAAAAATTAGCTGGGCATGGTGGCGTGTGCCTGTAATCCCAGCTACTTAGGAGGCTGAGGCAGGAGAATTGCCTGAACCCAGGAGGCGGAGGTTGCGGTGAGCCGAGATCGCGCCATTGCACTCCAGCCTGGGCAACAAGAGCGAAACTCCGCCTCAAAAAAAAAAAAAAAAAAAAAAAAAAAAAAAAAAGGTCATTGTGACTTTAGCAAAAGATAGTCCATGGAGGGAAGAGAGCAGAAGCTAGAATGAGGTGGACTGAGGTGAGAATAGCAGGTAAGGGAGGGCAGAAAGTGAGTGTAGACAGCTCTTCAGAGGTGGGGATGTGCAGTCAGGCAGGTAGCTCTGGTTGGTTTGATTTTGCAGTGGGAGTGCTCCCAGCAGGTTAAAGCCTAAGGACTTCGTTGAAAGGGGGAGGCTGAAAAAAGAGAAATGGGATAAACCAAGGTTATCAAGGGCTAAGTAACAGGTAGGAGGATTCAGAGGCTTCGTGGGTCTGGTGGCTCCTTCTCTAGCCTGGACTTTTCTGAACCTCTGTGACCTGCCCACGCCCTGATCGCCTGCCCTGGAATGCCTGCTGTCCCTCCCTTTCTTGGCATCTCTCCTTCCTGCTGTCTAGCCTGCCCACAGTTCCTCTCCTGCAGCCTGCTCTGCTGTTTTCTCAGCTTTGTTCACCCACTGTTAAGTTATTAACTTGTCAGGGTCTAGACTCCCCGCTTCCTTTCCCTCTTTTGAACTCACTGCTGGCTCCCTTCCCGTTTGCTGCCTCAGAAAGTCAGCATTTGGAAGGTCGAGGTTACTCTCCAGGTCAGTATTGGCAGGCAAACAGAATTACAGTTAATATAATTTGCATAAGATGTGTAAGTTTTCTTAAAGACATTGATACAACTGAAAAAGAAGTAATAAACACAACCATCTCTCTATTATCTTGTGGAGGTAAATGGCAAACTTAAAAATAGACTTTATTCAAAGTAGTATCTCCAAGAAGGTTCATCTGTGAACATGTTAAGGACCATTGGACTCTTACATGTTAATTGATGGATTCAATTATGGTCAGAAATGATCCTCAGTTTTTAAAGCAAACTCAAAAAACTATGTAAGTTGGGTTTTTTTGGTTTTTTAGTTTTTGTTGTTATTGTTGTTGTTTGAGACGGAGTTTTGCTCTTGTTGCCCAGGCCGGAGTGCAATGGTGCTATCTTGGCTCACCAAAACCTCTGCCTCCTGGGTTCAAGTGATTCACCTGCCTCACCCTCCCGAGTAGCTGGGTTTATAGGCATGCACCACCATGTCTGGCTAATCTTGTATTTTTAGTAGAGATGGGGTTTCTCCATGTTGGTCAGGTTGGTCTCGAACTCCTGATCTCAGGTGATCTGCCCACCTCAGCCTCCCAAAGTGCTGGGATTACAGGCCTGAGCCACCGCGCCTGGCCAGATAGGTTGTTTTAATATAAGTGTTGCTGTTCTGAGACATGCAAACTATGTCTTAGATTCTTTAGAGAGATTTGTAACAGTTCCTTAAAAAGAACTGCATGGTTTCTTATCATTACCTAGAACTTTTGAAGTCACAAATTAACTTAATATGGGTGGTACATGGACTAAGACACAGATGGTTTCCTATCTGTTGACTTACACCCTGCTGATAATTTTTTGTCTAAGGGCAAGAGTAAGTGAAAAGTAATATTTTTGAGCATATACTTATGTCATCGTATTTATTCCTCGCCATCCTTTGAGGTACTTCTTATCCAGTTTTACAGGTAGAGAAAAGCAGGGCTCAGAACTGTGTAGTAATTTCCCAAAGCTCACAGCTTTGTGGGTGGCAGATAGTGCTGAGCGCTGGTCCGCATGCTTGGATGTGGGGAAGCAGCAGTCGCTGTAGTAATAGTAACAGCAATGATAGCAGTGGCCAGCAGCCATGGAGTCCCGTGTGTGAGGACCCTTCGTATATGTCATATGGTTTAATCCCTATGACAGCCCTGCAAGGGCCATCATCCTCATTTTACAGAACAGGAAGCAGCCTCAAAGAGGTTTTTATTTGTCCAGTCACACAGCTGTTCAGCAAAGAACAGATTTTCAACTCAATTTTATCTGATCCTAACTTTCTGCTCTAAAGTCAACTTGTTTGTCAAGATTTGTGATAGTTCTCTGATCCCAAAAACAAGAGGCATGGTAGATGTAATTATTTTTTTCCTAATGCTGCCTCCTGGCATTCCTGTTGAGCCAGAATGCAGAATGTTTATTTAATTTTTACACCTTGTCAGCCTTGGTGGGGAGGAAAGGAACATCAGATATTTATGCAAGCTTATAAATTGTTGTAGGGTACTTTCTCTTCCATCTAGCAACTGCCCTGTCAGGACCCATCCAGGAACCCAAACTGAGCTAAGAAAACATCTGAGCACATCCAGAATTAAATATCACAAGTTGTTGAACCAGCGCCTTCACCAAATCCACAGATAAGTCCCTGACACTCACATGGAGCCGACTGACTCTGATTTGACACATAATTCTAACAGCATCTGTTTTCAGCTTAGTCTACAGCAGAAAAGTAATAGCAGAGGGCCCACTGCAGATTGATGTAGTAATACCAGAGACATGGCCAGAGACGAGGAGAAAGAAACCCAGAAAATGATCAGAAGCAGAAATGAGAGCCCAGAAGTGCAGCCTACCAGAAGCCTTTCAGTGTCAGCTCGAGCGCGGCCTCCTCCATAGCCAGAACACAGCACAGTCTCATCCGTTACTGGTTTTCATTATAGTGACACTGAACACTCATGAAAAGTTAGCATTGAAATATGTTAGTGCCGGGCACGGTAGCTCGAGCCTGTAATCCCAGCACTTTGGGAGGCCGAGGCGGGTGGATCACGAGGTCGAGAGATCGAGACCATTCTGGTCGACATGGTGAAACCCCGTCTCTACTAAAAATACAAAAAATTAGCTGGGCATGGTGGCGCATGCCTGTAATCCCAGCTACTCAGGAGGCTGAGGCAGGAGAATTGCCTGAACCCAGGAAGCGGAGGTTGCGGTGAGCCGAGATCGCGCCATTGCACTCCAGCCTGGGTAACAAGAGCGAAACTCCGTCTCAAAAAAAAAAAAAAAAAAAAAAAGGAAATATGTTAGTATTTCCAATTTAGAAAGGTAGTGATGATGGGTACAGTGTTTTCTTAGGAGGAAAAAGGCCAAAAAATGCATTCATGTTTGTCTACCCTTAAAACCCAGCTGTCAATGCCGGGCGCGGTGGCTCAAACCTGTAATCCCAGCACTTTGGGAGGCCGAGGCGGGTGGATCACGAGGTCGACAGATCGAGACCATCCTGGTCAACATGGTGAAACCCCATCTCTACTAAAAATACAAAAAGTTAGCTGGGCATGGTGGCACGTGCCTGTAATCCCAGCTACTCGGGAGGCTGAGGCAGGAGAATTGCCTGAACCCAGGAGGCGGAGGTTGCGGTGAGCCGAGATCGCGCCATTGCACTCCAGCCTGGGCAACAAGAGCGAAACTCCGTCTCAAAAAAAAAAAAAAAAAAAAAAAAAAACCCAGCTGTCCAAGAACAATTCGCCAAGGTTCTGTGCGTCCTTTCTCTTTGTATCCTCGAAGCACAGTGTCTGACACATAGGATGTGCTCACTGATGCCAGATGATGAAACGCTCAATGCCTTGTTTCCTAGGGGTCTGGATAACTCTGTTTTATTGTGGATCCTGGATGTATTCCAGGATGACTTTATAAAGGCGAGAAGATATAAGACCCCTGAGAGCTCACTGTTTATTCTGTGTTTACACATGGTTAGATGACATGATACCCACCTTCCTTCAAAAAAAAAAAAAAAAAAAAAATCAGTACATGGTAGTTACTCTAATCATTACCATTATTTTTGTCAACACTGACCAAGGTTGCTCACTGGGAAAGATGTGAAAAAGAAGTTAGGATCTTCCTCTCCTGGGACACATTTGAAAGCCAATAGCTGGAACCAGGCTGAAGCTATCTAACCAGCTCTAATCCACATGGGCAAGGGCCCCAGGATTCTCTGTGGGCTTACAGGCTACCCACCCCCTTGGCAACCCCAGTTATTAAAGATTGAGCCCAGAATAAATCAGCACTGCTCTCCCTGAGAGACAGCTGCCTTTCAGAGAGTTCCAAGCAGCCGGAAGACACACACGCCTGGAGGGTTCGGGCAGCCAGAGGCCAGGCGCCATAGGCTGCTGGGAGCACCTGGTCTGCCTTCGCTGCACAGGGCTGATTGTTTTACAGGTCACAGCCATTTCGAAAAGGCGGACTCGCTGACCTGTTTAATGAGTGCAGTTTCTGCACGAAAGCCCATATCCCTCTCCCAGGCAGCCCCAGAACTTTGCTGGGGAAGGGGGCCAAATCTCTTCTCAGTGCCTGAGGGATTTCTGGCCTTAACTGCTGGTAGAATTAGCAGGAGTTATCTATAAATCCCTGAGGCATCCATCAGCCAACTGAGTGAGGCTGCCTTTTTAAAGAAGTTCACTGACCTCTTGTTAACTTAACTCCTTGTTAGGAAATATCTAATCAGCTGTGAGCTAACACGTCAGGGCCCAGGGGTCTGCAGAAGCCGGGCTCACTATGGGCTGGGTTTCCAGCTGTGTGCAGTCTGGTGTCTGAGCTGTTGCGTTTTACTCTTTCAGCTATCTTTCAGATCATTCAGAGCATAAGGATGGGCATGTGAGAAGGCCAGGGATTTGACACCACCTCCCTCCCACTGGAGGGGGGAGGACCACAGACGCTGTCAGCCAGTTTCTGCAGGAAGCAAGCAGGCCACACGGAATAGAAAAAAAACGCTCTCCTACTTGTTCCCTGATCACTTCATCGTGGATGTCAGACCGAATTGCCTTCTCACAGGACATCTTGGTGCATCCGTGTTCTCAAGCGGAAAGGACATTTTGCTTTTCTGTTGGCAGGATTAGTCGCCACGCGGGTCGTCCGCAGCAGTGCTGTCTTTTTGGTTTTTCCCTTGGTTTCGCTAATGTGTGCATGTGGCCCTCTGAATGATCGCTGGTTTACTTTCTATGGATACAGTCTCTCCTCCATTGAGAATTGGTTTTACAAATAAACGTCTTCGTTCAACCTTATGCCATGTGTGGGTTATAGTGAGAAAACTAAGGTGAAGAAAATAGCAGAATAGCTCATGGGAGGTTGGGAGGTGGGGTGACTTGGTTATGCAGTTGGAGGAGGGCAGGGAATCTGGGACAAGGGAATCAGAGCTAGATTTACTCAGCAGGTCTCTGGCAAGACTCTCAAGATCTTTGCCTGAATGAAGCCCTGGGCAGCTCTACCGACCTTGCATTTTCTATACATTTGATTCTTCTTCCCTTTTTTTTTTTTTTCCTTTTTCAATATTTTTGTGTTGGCTTGTTTCTCTTTTTCAGTTCAGAAAAGGCATGCACAATGTATGTGAAGATTCAACTAGTCATTATCTTCTCTGTGGTCTGCCTCGGAGCTTAGCACTGAGCAGATGTCCCCTGCCTCTTGGTGAGAACCATCCAACCCCAGGGCCCAACCTCAGCCACTCCAGAGCACTGGGTAAATCAGGAGCCCTGCTGCCCTCTGGGGCATCAGCTGGCAGAATGAGGGGGTGGGGTCCCCTCCCTGGCCAGCCTTCCCCACAGCTTCTCAAAGCATGGTGTTGCCAAAGGATGTTGCAGGGACAGCCACAGGGTCACTGGAGAATTAGAGGTGGTCACCCTGCAACATGAAGCATGCTTTTGTTTTTATTAATTTTCATCTTTGCATTACCAATATTTTTCATTCATTAACTTCATGAGAGCTGTAAAAAGGGAAGTGACAGACACAGCCAGAGCCTCTCTGGACAACTTGACAGGTTTTGTTGTTAGTGGCACTGTTTGAATTAGGGGACATTTTTTTCGTTGGAATCTTTCACTTCAGATCCTTTAGTGATATTCTTTAGGGGCTTCTTTTCTCCCCACTTTTGAGTTCCCCTCCAAAAGCATCCCTTCCCTCTTTTTCTTCCTTTCCCACTAAGAAGAGAGGGTACCTAGACACCTCCAAAATCAACAGCCCTGGGAACAGTCTATCACCCTGTGCTCCCCCGCTGCTCCCACTCCCCAGCCCCCAGCCCCTCACAAAGTGGCAGAAGACATTTCCAGTTACCCGAGAGTGGCACACAGTAGATGCTCTCCAAGCTAGTCCCCCCAACCCATTGGCTCTGACTATCCTCTTCTAGGTCACCAAGTCAGATCCGCGTGTGTTAAGAGATCAGCCCTCAGGGATCCTGCTTGGGGCCCGGGAGCCCACGTTGCCTGCCAAGAGGGGGAAGAAGAAAGGCTCCTTGCCTTCAGGTGACTGGATCTGTGCTCACACACATCTCTTTCCAACACCTACATTGCCTAGACTTGATTTGAGTGCAGAATTTCTCTTTCTCCCTTAATGCCTATAAAAGCACACATCCCAAACCACCAAGAGAGGCCATTACTGGCCTGAGCTTTGTGGTTCATCCTTTTTCCCCTAATTGGGGAAATTTTTTCCTCCTAATTTGGCCTTCCTCATAACAGCAATAGTCAAGAGGGTGATTATCCCCATTTCAAGGAAAGGGAAACCAAATCCTGGCCAGAGTCAGTCCCAGATACTCCCTGCTTTTTCCCAGGTGACAGGTGCGATGGGCTGCATGTGGTGGACTGTTGGCTGCCATCCATAAAACTGTCTGAGATTGATTTCTCTCCTCAGGCTCTGCAATCATCCACAAACTGGTTTTCTATTAGTTTCCAGGTAGCCTCCCTGAAGTACCTGCATATAGCAGTCTACCCTCCCTGGTGACTTTTTCCATCCGTCCTCTGCAAGCAGAGATGGCAGCTGCCTGAAGTTAGTTAGGGCCGTTGTTGATTTATACTGTACTGCAGGGATGTCAGCAGTTTCACCGTGAAACATAGTAAAAAACACACGGCAGCCCAATGCACAACATACCCTTCAAAACAAACTTTACAGAAAGGACTACACTTATCCCTACTATACATGATGCACTCTGATTTTTTTCTAGTCTATTTTTGAATTAAAAATTTTTTCTAGTATATTTAATTTTTTGAATTAAAAATTAATTCAAAATGGTTGCATCCTCAACAACTGATTTTATAACCCACGAATAGATTTCAACCACAATTTAAAAAACACTGCTCTTCAGAAGAAAATCAAGCCCTTGGTTGAGGACATATCAGCAGGGTTCAGAAGGCAGTACAGCTGCATCCTGGTGAGAATTTAAAGTCCCATATCAGTCACAGCCAATCAAGAGCTCCAGCGGCACATGATAGGCGACTTTGGGGATTTAAGGCACATGGGCAGATTCTGCACAGAAAGTTGGGGGGCCAGGTGAGCCCATGGATTCAGCACCACCTTGAGTCCATAGAAAGACTGTGAAATACATGTCCATTTATTTCATAAGTAAATGTCCATGCTGACAGGTTCAATTTGTCAGCATTCACTTTCTGGGAGTCACAATCACTTAGGATAGGCATGGGGAGTTCTTAAAAGTAGGAATCCACCCCAAGCCTGCTGAAAATCAAACTCTCAGAGGAAAACATGCGTGCATATGAGTTTTGCATATGTGTTTTTCAAAAGACATTCAGACAATTCTGCTGCCGCCCATCCACCAATGAGCATTTGGGAACCACTTTACCACCAGACTTAGTTTAATTAAACCAAAGCAGGTACCCAGAGGCAATGGCACACACCTAACACTGCATTCACCCTGATCTCTGAGAGCTTCTTCTCCTTTGATGTTCAGAAGCATCCGGGGGCTCCTGGGGGCTCAGCGGTGATGATACATTCTATTTGATTTTGCTCCAGGCCTTGTGTGTGTCTGTAGCCACAGACTGGAGCAGAGTGCTTACTACTTGGCTTGAGTATTTAAGGCTCTGTAGGGGAGGAGAATTGTGCCTTACGGCAAGGCTAAGGACTTTTCTAGGTCCCCTCCCTCCAGGACATCAACACAGGTCCAACACTGTTTCTGGGAAGGCCAGTGCCCTTGAAGGTGCTCCCTGCTTTGGAAGTGCCTAAACACACAGGAAATATGCCCTCAGATGTGGGGGCTGCACTTTGTTATAAGCCAGTTCTCATCCTGTCCAGATACAAGAACGTTCTAACATAATATCTCTGCAATTCTTCCACAGTTGGTCCCCAGACCTTTGGAGGCAAAACGTCATCTGGGTGATGTCCTTTATCCTACAGTCATCATCAGGCTTCAGCTGCAAGCTGCAAACATATATTAATCACTCTCAGCAGCAGGTCCCTTTGAGAAATCTTCAGGTCTGAGGCTTCCATCTGCCAGCCGTGGGTCATGACTTCCTCTCCAGGGGTCAGCAAACTTTATCTGTAAAGGGCAAGTAAATATTTTAGGCTTTGCAGTCCATATGGTCTCGAGGCTGTTCAATTCTGCTGTTATAGCTTGAAAGCAGCCCTCGATGATATGTAAATGAATGACCACGGCTGTTACCCAGTAAAACTCAATTTAAAATACAGGTGAAGCTGGGTGCAGTGGCTCTGGCCTGTAATCCCAGCACTTTGGGAGGCCGAGGCAGGTGGATCATCTGAGGTCAGGAGTTCGAGCTAGCCTGGCCAACATGGCGAAACCCTATCTCTACTAAAAATACAAAAATTAAGCTGGGCACGGTAGCAGGCACCTGTAGTCCCAGCACTTTGGGAGGCTGAGGTCGGTGGATCACCTGACATCAGGATTGTGAGACCAGCCTGGCCAACATGTTGAGACCCCATCTCCACTAAATATACAAAATTAGCTGGGCATGATGGTGCATGCCTGTAATCCCAGCACTCAGGAGGTAAGACTAGAGAATCTCTTGAACCTGGGAGGCAGAGGTTGCAGTGAGCTGAGATTGTGCCACTGCACCGTAGCCTGAGTGACAAGAGTGAAACTCCATCTCAAAAAAAATAAAAATTAGGCGGGCATGGTGGCACATACCTGTAATCCCAGCTACTGGGGAGGCTGAAGTGGGAGGATTGCTTGAGCCCAGGATTGAGGTTGCAGTGAACTATGACAGTGCCACTGGGTAACAGAGCAAGATTCTGTCTAAAAAAAAAAAAAAAAAAAAAAAAAAAAAATCCTCAGGTGTTACCCAGATCTAGTGAATCAGAAACTCTGGAGATGGGGCCAATAGTGTGGGTTTTCGAAGCCTTCCAGGTGATTCTTCTGCAAGCTCACGTTGGAAAACCCTGCTCTCAGTCTGGCACCAAACCTGTCCGCTCCAGAGAGTTGCTGGTGGTTAGCCATCCCCCTGGACAGGCCTCTTCTCCTTCCTCCCTTACAAATTTAAGTATACCCTTAGTACTTAATTCACTCTTATATACCTAGAGATTTGCTCTCTTTTTGTTTTGTTTCTACATTTTCCAATTAGATTGAAATCCCTTGAAGCTAGAGTCTATGTGTGACTTCTTCCATCTCTACCCCACCACTGATCCATTTTAGGCATTCAATAAAGGCAAGGAAGGCCTTCACCTTTATTAACTTTTTTGAAAATTCCGTGCTTAACTATTTTCAGAATTTTCAGCCCACAATTCATTTTCCAAAAATATACATTAGGTGCCTATTCTGCGCCAGGCTCTGTTTTAAGTCACAAGTCCTGGCCTTCATGGAACATGCATTCCAGTGGAGGAGACATAATAAGCATGTAAATTATCAATAAACACTATGAAGAAAAACAAAGCAAGATAATACAATGGCGACTGATGGGGTAACAGATTTTAAAGCTTAGTCAGAACAAGGCCAAGAAGAAACCACTGCATTTTTAGGCTCGAAAAGAGAACATGCAGGCCTTTTATGTACTGCTCTTTACAGCTCGAGCGTAACCATGCTCGTTTCAGTGTTAGGCAGGATAGAGTGCCCCGTGCAGCAGGAACAAAAGCTCAGTGGCTGTGCACAGTACGTGCTCATGACTCTCTCACTAATCACTAAGTCTAATGCAGGCTGCTGGGGGCTTCCCTCCACGTGTTGGCTCAGCATTCCAGATTCTGCCGCCATCCCAACACTAGGTCACCTGTGCACACAGAAATGCAGGGGGATGACACCTCCCCCTTTTAGTGAGTCACTTTTTCATTCACAAGAAATCTC